CTACAGCAATCCTTCAGGTCCAAAGGCCTGTGCTCCTCCTTCTACCATGCTCTGGAAGCAAAGGTACAGATATTCCCTGAGGAAGAATCCTGGGCAGTAACTGCGTATTTCTTGTGCATGATATTATTAGAACAAAGAGGAAAGTACTTCCTCCAGGAAAACTGTGTCTGCTGCAACTTATACTTCAAACACTTCATCTAAATACCAAATGATGAAATCTTCCAGGGAACATGCAAAGTATTTTGCCTTTTTTGACTATGCTAGCCACACTGGCTAGAGTGTCCTGGAGTCAGATCACTTTCCTGTAAACATATGGAGGTCCATTAAATAAACAATCATATAGGAAAACTATCCCTCTCTGAGGCTTGGCCATTTTGTTCTCTTCTGAGGACATGCTCCTCACTCAAGAACCTTGGTCCACAACTGTCTTGTGCTGGAGACCACTTCAGAGCTGAGCAGAAGTCCTTCTATCCTCTGACAGCACAGGCACCAGCATCCTGCACCTCTGGCTACAACTCTCCACCCAAGGCATCAGGTCAATTCTCCATCTCCACCTGCAGGTGTTCAAAACATGCCCCCACTCCACAGCCTGACAAGTTTCCAAAAGCTTTTTTTTTTTTTAAGCTTTCAACTAGCTTCTTAGTTAAAAAAAGCTCAACTAGGCTGAACTGCAGGAGGTATTTCCCCCACATCCATGGGCCAGCCTGTGGTTGCCAGAGCTGGCTCTGGGCTCGGATGAGTTCCCCACTCCAGGTTCAGAGATCAGGCACACTGGCAGTCAACACTGTAAGTGTTTTTACATCAACCAGACCGCAACATAAATCAATGGCTGCTTAAAGAAAACAAAAATATAATTCTATTAAGAAATTATCTTTAATCCATACTGGACAAAGTTGACAACTGTCCTCTGTAAAAGAGGCTGCAAAATTCAATTACTGTTTGTCAAGTGCTTGGATGTCACAGCAGTAAGTACCCCAGAGAGGCTTGTGAGAAAATTAATAGTTTGGTCTTGGTGAGCAAGGACACAGCAGGATTAACACAGCAGGATTAATACAGTTAGCTAGCGAGCATCTTTCATCCATGCATCCTTCTGGAAGACACAGCCTGTGACCATGAAGACCACACTGTAACACAGATAGACAAGAGGCCTGAAGTAAAAACTAAGGCAATTTTGGTCATGGTATTTCCTGACTTCTAAGAAATCAGGAAGTTTACACAAGAAGCATTTCAACTTGGCCATGTAGCTTCCCCCCAAAACACACCAAAATGTCTCCTGCAGCCCAAAATTAGCCTCAGACCCCCTCCTTCTGAAGGATCTCAAAACCACACAACAAAGCCAGTTCTTAATGAAGCTGATAGTCCCTTCCCAGAGATGAGCAATACTGACCCGTGACTGCTGCAGCCACTATGACCAGCTCTAAGTTTCCCCATGCTGGAAAGGCAGGACATGGCAGAACCAACAGCAAGAGCAGCTTTCTCTTCAGACGTGCAGCAGCAGCAGGTAGAATGTTACCAAATTCCCTTGTGGCCAGGTGACAGCAAAAGAGAGCTAGAATGCTTGGATAGCCTTTCACACATGGGACAGACCCTTCTGCCATGCAGCATGCTCCTGCATCATTCCTAGTCCTAGTCTCCAACCATTTATCCTCTGCTCTTAATTTCTATTTTGATTTCACATCTTTACTTGGTAAGCAGTGGATTTTTATCAGGGCTCCTCAACAGCACACTCACCACAAACATCACTTTCCCCAAAGTTTCAAAACACTCCCCACCCCTCCTCACAAACAACCAAGAGGCAGAGAACTTCCCAGATAAAGTGGCTGGGGGAACTGTGACATTTTTAAATGACTAAGCAGCCTCCTTCCCCAGCCCTCTTCTCAGAAACAGATGAACAGCTTGGAGATGACACTTCCCAAAAGTATTTGGTGAAGAGCTGCAGCCCGTTCTGGTATGGGGATGAGATTGCACTCACCCCTGCAGGCAGAGTATTAATGGAAAGCACCAGCCAGCTGGCCAAGGGGTTATCTGCTCCTTCCAAAGGGCTTGGCACTAAGGGCAGAGCCTCTGCTACCAGCGGAGCTTCCCAAAGTGGTCACTCCTGGTCAGTTGACCTCTAAGCCCCAGCAAACCCCATCAGATGAAGCACACTCACTGCCATTGCCTCTGCCCAGCAGACTGCAGTGGGCAGGAGCTCAGAAGGGCTGTAATAGCTCCCAGCAAAAATGAGAAACTGAACTCCAGGTCACTTTCCCCAGGCTCCAGGCAAGGATCAGAGGGTTCATAGCAGGGTGGAAGTAATGTAACAAAACCAGGTGTTCATTGCATCCAGGTGAGCCTCTAGCAGGAGCCCTCCAGCCATGGTGTGCCAAGGTCAGAGCACATGTGCTGATGAGCTAACAGGGCTGTGCAGGGCCCCAGCACAGCACTCTGCTGGTAACCCACCCACCGAACTCCATCGCCTGGGGGCATGCTGTCAGCCCTGGAAGAGGGGCAAGAGCAGCCTGCTACCATGGCCTGTGTTAAATCAGGCTATATGCTGCTTTCCAAGCCAGGGAAAACCTTTCTGCCCCTGAGCTGCTGGCAAGGGAACTGCTCTGTTCCCAGGGGCTGTACCACGTTAGGCTCTGCTCTGCAGCAGGGATCACTCTCACCAGCTACCTGGTGACTTTTCATCAGGTGCTTACCAGCCTCCAGGCTCACAAGGCACTTTAGGCAAGCTGCTCCTCAGCAGACACAACAACAGAGTACATCATCCCCTTCATGGTGTTAACAGACAGTCCAAAAACACCAGAAGTAACAAATCACTGGAATCCCAAAGCCTTGCCAGCTGGCAGTAACGGCTCAAGAAGTCCATTCCTCTCTGAAAACAGTGGCAGTTCTCCTGTGTTTGAGTTCATTAAATGCTGCCCACCCATCACCTCTCAGCACTCACAGTTTGTTGATCACCATATCCTTATAGGCTCTAGTCCAGAGGGGCTTTTCACAAATTTCAACAGGAATTAAAATTGATTGTCCTGGAATGCTCATTCACCCACACTGAAGTACAGACAAGACTTTCCTGTTCCAGTCTCCCAGCAAGCTCCTCATGCCAGATAGAGGCACAGAATTGGTGTCACAGGAAAAACTCCTCCAATACACACTGGCCTTTGAGCTTTCATTTGAGTGTGCAGTTTTCCAAGCCTATGTTTGTTATGAGGAGACACAGCATTGTGAAAGATGGCTGAACGCACTCCCATGTGCTTGTTTCTGGCTGGGAATATTTACCAGCTCTTAAGCTAAAACATCTGAGACCTGCACTCACAACTTGGCCTGCATAAAGGGCTTAGTAAGATCACTGCCCCTGGGCTTGCCTGCACTGTGTTCTCAAAGCCAAGGTACAGCCCTTCCTAAATGTTTTAAAGCAGTGTTTTGCAACCTCTGAAACAACTGTTTGAGAGATACTGGCCAAAGCACGAACTTATATGTCTGAGCAGCTAGGAGAGAAGCAGTAAGACCCCAACAGCAGTAACCACTGAGGTAATGCTCATACAAATTACTGTGCCAGATACATGGTTTGGGTTAGCACTGTAGGCTAAAGCCTCCTGTCGGGGGCTGTCAAGTCCATGACAGTCAGTTGTAAGTTAAACAGTCATTAAAACTTAGTATCTACTTTGCAAACTGAAGCTTGACTGCTTCCCCAGTTGGTGGACTCTTTTCCACTCCAAGGTTCACCTAGGAGATGGGAGAAAGAGAAATAGAGCTGGGGACTCTGGAAAGGAAGAAGGGGCAGATATTGTTTCCAGAGGGAGGTGGGAAGAGAAAATAAGCAACCTCTGGAATCGATGGGAATGGAAACAGAAATGTGGAAAGCAACTTAAAATTCCAGTTGTGACTCAGTTTTGATGTAACTAAGGGGGCAAGGGACACGAGAGAGTGGACAAGAGCAGTCACCACTACAAATCCAAAACAACTCTGCCTCCACACACACTCTGGTGGCAGGCAGCAACAAATCTCCAACAGCTGACAGGTAACAGGAGTCTGGTGCTAAGAATCAGCTCCCAGAGCTCCCACTGCTGATGACTGCAGGAACGTGGGACTCCCAAAATTGTTAAGTGCAAACGCCCAGCTGCAGAGTGATGTTTCTCTGCAGCTGCACAGCGTGTTGAAGGAACCGCCAAGCCAGCAGAGAACTCACTCAACTGCACACATATTAAACCATCTTCTAAAACAAATCCTTAAGCCTTTTGTTATTGTACCTCACTGTTTACTTATTCCTCATTTGGGGATGTACACTTGAACCCTGAGGTCAGACAATGGCCTGGGCCACACTGCCTTTGTTCCCAAAACAAAAAAAAACCCAACCCACCAGCCAGAGCCCGTGTTGTATGTTCCAGTTCTGGGAGGCTGATGGACTGATCCCCTGTGGTCAACACAGAGAGGAACATAAGGACCAGCTGAACCCTGTCCTGTTTTCTCTTTCAACTGGGAGGAGCACAGAGCAGCAGGAAGGAGAAAGGCCTAAAGGAGCACACATCAATATTAGTCATGGGAAGACAGGTCTTTTACAAACAGTATCAGCACTCACCACATCTCACTTATCAGAACAGAACATGACAAGGAAGGCACATGCAAGAGAGCTGCACTAATCTAACACTGACATAATATTTAAAACCAGGAGCAAAAAAAAAAGAGAATTTATGAGAACTTCATATTTCAGTCAGTCATGTTGTGACACCAGCATTTTGATGCTCAGGCATTAAAGCCCAGCCAAAGCACAGTGCTTGCCACTGGCAGGTGGCACATGGGCAGGTCACAGGTAGGAGCTGCCCCAAACACCACTACTGTGTGTTCACAACTACATCACTTGGCCTGACAAGGGACTTGATCTCTCCAAACAGACTCTTTGTGAGTACAAAGGTACTGCAAGAAGGAGACACCAAGAACTACAAGAACAGTACGGCAATCAGTCATTTTCTCTCAAATTATATGGCAATAAAAATGCATCAAGAAGAAAATGGTACCTCTGTCAAGGGTCTTGGTCTTCTTTCTACAACGAATTCTGTGTGGCAGAGCTCACAGTAACTTGTGTTGGAGGAGGATAACCATTTTTCCAGGCAGCTCTTGTGCACGGTGCCCAGTGTTCCTGTGCAGTCACATGGGGAAAGCAGTCCCTCCCCATTTCCACCTTCATGACAGATTCGACAGATGGGACCATCACTAAAGAGGCAGAATGAGAGACAAACAGAATGAAATCAGAGTCAGAGCAGGCAGAACACTGCCACAGGGTCTGGTCCCACCAAGCCCCAGAAAGGCACATGAACAGCAGGCAGTGTGTGGCACAGCATGCCAGGAGCCTGCTGCAGCAAGAAACCAGTCTCAGGATACCATGGAGGTGCTCAGGACATTTTAGATAATTTAAAATCTGGAAGACCCATAACAACAAGAGAAGATGGCACATCAGCCTGGCCAGCTCAGCTGGCCCCAGAAGTGACTGCAGTGCATGTCCCATTGTCTTCAGCTCTACCCACAGTGGGCAGGGGCTGATACGAGATCCAACACCAAGCCTAAAGCACTCGTGCAAATCCACATGACCAAAGCAAAACCAAATGACCCACAGTAGTCACAGCATGCCCCAGACACTTGCCACTTCTCAAGAGGTTGGCAATCAGGTCACATTTACCAGATCACCTACCCACTTTCAGCCCAACTTGGTTTTGCAGCCTGGGCTGAGCAGGAGCTGCACAAGGAACAGCAATATCTTGAGACACAACTGAACTGACCCTGGAAGCTCACCTCCCCAAGAGTACAACATATTTCATAGCAAGCAGGCACCCAGAGCAAGGCCTCCAGCACACAAACGCTCTGCCCATCACTGCACAATAACTCCCCAGCATCCTGTGGGTACACCCTCCCCAGAGCAACAACTGCTCTGCAGTGTTCAGCACCTCGGTAGCTAAAGAAATGCTTTGGTGCTTCAAGAACAACACCTCCTTGGCCCCAAGTTCCAACTACAGAATCACACAGAACCCCACAGACCTCACAGAACCAGAGATATCTACCAAAGCAACTAACAAACATTTTCAGAGACACTTGCAACCTTCCCCGCAGGAGGCCTGAGCTGCCCATCACACTCAAACCACCCATCTGCTCCCAAGATATTCTTCACACCTTCAGCTGGCACCACTGACTGAACAACTAATGCTACACCTTTCACTAGACCAGTTGCTCCAAGTCTCAGCCAACCTGGCCTGGAGCACTTACAGAGATGGGGCATCCCAAGGCACACGTTTCTTAGCAGCCATATGTCAGCCCCTTGATCAGGATGTTTTGGGCTCCTTGGGAAGCCCCAGATGGCTCTAGACACCAAAGTTCGCTGTTTCCAGCAGTTCAGTTCATCTCTTCAGCATTCACCAATCACCAAGATCATTTAGGAACAAAATACTGGACAGCAGAGGCCCAGGGCAGGACTGCCTTCCCCAGACCACAGAAACCAGGCCCTCACTAGTATCTCATTTCACACCTTCCAAACAGGCATTTCTTTCACACAGTTTTCCTCTTACATCCCAAGCTGTCCAGATTTGGGGGTGCGAGAAAGGAAAAAGGTGAAAAAGGGAAATCTTTGTTTCAAAGACCCTACTGTAAGTCCGCTTGAAATCCAGTTGAGTGGTATCAGATATTACCTTTTTCTAGATACTGCTGACGGAACAAAAAAAGCCACACTGAGCCCATATCATAGTTCACACTCCACTGCTATACTGAATTCAAAAAACCCCACCTGACTGCAGAAGTCTGTGGGATTGCAACACAACCATCAAAGCAATCTTCAAAACCAGCAGGACCACCTCCATTAGTTTGCACAGAAAGCAAGAGTGAGGCATGGAAGCACAGTTCAAGGAAAAGGAGCACACTGGGGAAAAAGGTACAACAGGAGTCTGGGGATCAAAGATCCTGGAAACTACATCAGACAAGACTCTGAGCAGGCTTGCTCTAAAGGAAGCTGTGACAGATATCCTATGGAATTCCTTTCCAATTTGAATTATTTGACGATTGTGTAACATTTGTTGCCATAAAATGCTGTACCAGAACAGCCTGCACACAGAGCCCTAGTGACACAATCCCCTACAGCCTCCAGGGCTCTCATGCATGTGTCTTTTCCTAAGAAAAGCATCTGTAAGATATTTCACCCGTTCTCTTCCTCTTTGAGAACTTTCGTATTTCCAGAACATTACCATAACATTGGCTATCAACAAACAACCCAAAATGAAAAGATTTGCAGACAGTGTGTGAAAAGAATTCTTATCAGACTTCATTTTCCTTCCTTCCTTTCCCCTGACGGGTGGGGGCTCACTCACACTCCCACATAATACACACTCAGACAGTTTTCCAGCAAGCTGAAGACACCATAGCAGTAATTCAACTGAGTTGGATTCCAGTGCAGTCACGCTGCTCTTGGCTTTGCTGTGCTAAGTGCTGGGGACAAGGAAGACACTGAAACCCATCACCAAAAGAAACAAACTGGTGTCTGTGTAGAAACATAAGGAATCATTATGGGTTGACCCTAAACATTAAACCCTAAAAACATTAGGGTTTTTTATCCTGTTTCCAGGCAGTTTTCCCACACAATTATTACACCCTCACAAGTTCTAAAGGGTTAAACAACTTTTCACCTTGACCATCTACTGCCAGAGAACAAGCCCAGTTACTTTCACATTTTTACTGACCTGCTCCAGGTTTGCTGGATGCAGCAATTCTGTTTGCCTCTATCCTCATCCAGCTTCCCTGTATCCCTCCCCCGTGTCTGCAATCACTGCTTTCATATCACATAAATGTTTGACCAAACTCATTGAAACAAGTAACAGCTGTTCAGACAGATTTCTGAACACAAAATGTGACAGCTCTCAGTAGATGGACTGAACAATGCAGCCAAATGTCCTTTACTCTGGAAGCTGCCCAAAATAAATGAGAAGGAGTCACATCAGGAGTCTGAGCTAGTGAAGCTGCCACGTGTCCCCTCTAGCAATAGCTGGGTGCTGTAGCTGCTGCAACACAAACACCCTCCCCTCCCTGCGCCTGAAGAGCAACACCATGCCTCCATTCCATGGAGGTTCCTGGAACAAAGGCTGTGCTCCCTTCCAGCCCTTCAGCCATGAGCAGCACACTGCCCGGCCAGCACGGCCCCACTTCACCCCCGAGGCTCCCCGAGCGCGCCAGCCCCGGGCCAGCGGCGCAGGGCACCGGGCCCACGAGCAGTCAGGCTCGTGCCAGCGGCCCAGCAAACCCCTCCGCAAAACAGAGCTGCTGAGCCCCTGCAGCCGAGCCACCGAAGCAGGGCCAGAGCCCGGCTGCAGCTCCCTGCAGCAGCCTCACCTCTGGGCACCCAGCGCCTTGATGACGGTGGAGAGCAGCCGGCCGTCCTTGGCCGTCACCTGTGTGATGTACTGCGGGCGGCCCATGCCCGCCTCCTCCACCGACTTGGCGAGGGCAGCGCTTCCCGGGCAGTCGCAGAGGGAGCCGGGCAGGTGGCAGCAGTCGCCTGTGGTCATGGCAGCTCTGGGCCCCTCTGTCCCGGGCCCGACACCCGGGAGACCTGCAGGAACAGCACCACAGTCAGAACCAGAACCCTGCCATCCCCAGCCCCTCATGATCCTGCAGCCCCACTCGCGCTAGGAGCGCCCCAGGGCCCCAACACGCACACGTTTTGAGAGTCTTCTGTCCCCTTCAATAGGTTTTGTGAGGCTGCCTTACCATAAAACTAAGGCTCCAAGTGTTCTACTTACATAACTTACCATCAGAATTGCAAATCCGCCTTTCCCAGAGAGAATTCCTGGTAACCACCCTTTAACCTGATGAAGCCTTTCAAACTGAATGTGCTGATACAGAGATGGGGAAGGCAACCAGAATCCCCATGGACCTGTGCTGTTCTGGCTAGAGCCATCCTGAAAACTTATATTCATACTCTCCATAAATGCAGCAAAGTTTCACCTGAACAGGCCACCTAAACCAGTTTATGTGGCTGAATTCAGGAGGCCTTTCTCAGCTGCCCTCAGGAGCTTTCTGAGCACTTGAAAAGACTGTCCAAGCTGAAAAGGCTCTCCCATTCCATCATGATGTTCTTTCTCTTTATTTCATTAAAGAAATACACGTGCTCACATTTCTATATCCACTGGGGTACATCCCAACAGTCAATGTGTCAATATGAAAATCCCAAAAGCACCAAAAATCCTCCTTTCCTCCTTGGGAAAGGCAGCAGGCCAGCCTGACTCCTTTCCCTTTCAACTCTTCAAACCAATCATGACTTTTACAAGAGCCACTTTCAAATAGCAAAACACACCAGCACATTTTCAATAGTCACTCAGCAAAGAGAAGACAAGGAACAAACAGCAAATTCAAGAAATGGAGAGAAGATGCAGAGAAAAGCCCAACACAGCAAACCAGGAGCTGGCTCTGATGAGCCACGCATGGACAGGAGAACTCTCTGCCTTTGAGGTAAGGCAGCAGGTCACCCAAGCTGCCGAAAACAGCCGTGCTCCTCCCTGGCAGGGGGTATCTCATTCCCACAATCAGGTATGCTCTGCAGATTTAGAAAAATCCTGTTCTTGCCAATCGCCTTTAACCTGGTCCCCGAGAGGCAGCTGTGCAAAAATAAAGAGCTGAGGTTACAGTGAGTCACACTGAACACAATCCAACAACATTGTACTGCTGGTAAAACCAAAATCCCTGTGTCTGTAAACAGGACTGCCTTATGTAAGGCATGCACAGTAATCCCTGTGCGCCAGCACTGCTGGGATCAGAGCTGGAATGCTGCCTCATCCTGGTGGCTGGATTTCAAGATGAAATAAACCCATAAAAGAAGTTCAAATGAAAGCAATGAAATGAAAAAAGAGGGAGGAATAAAAGGAAATAAAGTAACTATAACCCCAAATAAGATCTATGAAAACAATTATGTTTTTTAAATTTTGGGGGAGTGGGGGGAATCTGCAATCTTTGCTCCCTGGAGGTAGGAGCAGGCAAATCCTCCATCCCATGCAAGGAAAGGTTTTTATCTGAGATCTCTGAGCACAACACGAGTAAAACATTCTCATGAAACTGCAGTCCTGTAAGGTTCAAGTAAGCCAAAATCTAACAAAAATAACTAAAGAAAATAAGGGCTTCTTCCTGGTTGGAGGCTTGGCCACAGTACAGAGGAAAAAAACCCTAAAGCCAGTACAAGAACATGATCCTTGAAGCCCTGAAAACACTGATTTGGGTAAGCAAAAATGCTTTCTCATGTCTTGGAAATTAAGCAACTCACACAACCAAGGGCTTCATCTGTCAGGACAGCTTCCTTCATGTACATGTGTTCAAGAGGGAGAGAGCCCTTCACTGGTGTCTCAGAACCAGATGCCAGCTTTGGTAGCATTCCTTCACTTTACAGAATAGTATCTAATTTCTAATAGAAGACTTTCTAATCTCTTTTTTAAAGCTGCTCTTGATAACTATCTGTAACCTTTCCTTCGCATCTGAGCAAGAATAAGCTTGAGCTTGTGGCCAGCTCAACCTTCTTCAAAATGAACGTGAATCTTTTCATCAACTTAAAAATTAACTTGATAGACTCAGCTTCTCTTGTCACCTGTGCAAAGAACACACAGAGTTAGAGCTACTTTTCTTATTTCCCCTCCTCAATAAAAAGGCTACAAATTCTGCAACTGCAAGGAGCAAAAAGTAAGATGATAAATGCTATTGGAATTACGTAAGTCAGCTGTTCCACAAGTTAAGGAGTTGTTTAAAATTAACAACCTCTTACTGAAACAAGCATGAGAAGATATATGCTTTTAGTAAAAAGGTCAGTTCCGCTTGTTTGGCCAAAATGTTGTTTATTTTAAAGTTCAGAGGAAAAAGTCCATTCTGCATACTGGAATAAAACTGCCCTCACTGACTCTCCTAGGAGTATTTATACTGAGGCTCCTTGTGCTCCACATCTGACAGACACAGGCAGTCCCATGGTGTTGCCCCAGGGCCCTGTTAAGGCTGGAAGGAAACGGCCACCCTGATATTCTTCAGGAAATGCACAGGTTTCTGTTACGAGTTATTTGGCGTTTCCTTGTCAGGGTCCAGCCCAGGGAGGAACATGAAGTCACTGCTTTAATATCTGACTCATGCCATTCAGCAAATACGAAAGAAAAGCAGCAAGACTTTCATGGTTAGTAAAGAAGTAACTGAAATCCAAAGACAACATCTGCAGTGCACTCGGGTCCAAGTTCCATAGCCAGTGGAATATGAACCATGGTGTGCAGGAGCATCATAACAATGATTTACAGCCAAGTCAGTCCCTTTCCTGATCCCTGAAGGATCAGCTCATCAACACACAGCCTTCTCTCACAACAGCTCATCCAACCCAAACCCAGTGTTCACAGAATCGTTCAGGTTGGAAACAGCCTTTGAAATCATCTAGTCCAACTGCTGCCCCAGCATTGCCAAGCCCACCCTGAACCCACGTCCCCAGGTGCCACAGTTTTTAAATCCCTGCAGGGATGGTGACTCCACCACCGACCTGGGCAGCCTGTGCCAGTGCCTGGCCACCCGTTCCATGAAGGAATTCTTTCAGCCTAAAGTTCCCCAGTACAATTTGAGGTTATTTCCTCTCTTCTTGTCACTCATTTCCTGGGAGAAGTGACTGACTCCCACCTGGCTGAACTCTCAGGGAGTTTTAGTGACCAAGAAGGTCCCCCCTGAACCTCCTTTTCTGAACAGCCAGCTCCCTCAGCCACTCATCATCAGATTTGTGCTCCAGCCCCTTTCCCAGCTCTGTTTACAGCAGAAACATCAAAATCCCAGGGTGAGAAACAAGACCCAAACAGCTGGTTTGAACCACGCACTGTTTTTTTTTTTTAAGCACCTGTGTTTTCTGAGCCCATTCCTTGGGGATACATTTCTTGTACACATTTAAAAAAAAAAGTCTCAAAGACACTAGGTTTATTATCAACATCCCCTCTGCTGCCATAGTTAGACATTAGCAAATAAATAGGAAGGTCCTTCTCAGCAACATTTTGCAGCCTCAGCTTCTGAGCAGATCCACAACATAAAGGGCTGAGTTGGTAGAAAATTACTCAAACTGAAAAACCCAAACCCTGTCTGTGGGAAGCTGTCTCAGAACAGCGAATTCTGTACTAGAATTCCAAAACTCAAACACGTGCAGCAAAATGACCCAGTTCCTTGATGAGCAGCTTGTGCTCTGTCACTGCTCCAAGGCAGAGACCAGGCTGCTGGTGTAGGATCCTGCTCCACGGCTTAAGTGAAACACTCTTCCAAGATACTCCCCCTTGTCAGTCCTCATGCACTGCAATGAGATATGTAATCCAGTTTTATCATCCAAAGGGCAGTGAGGTGGGCAAAACCTCCTCAAAAGACTGCAGAGATCAGGTTGGACCAGTGCTGTCCATGCAGGAGATGTGCCCAGCAGAAGTAAGCAGGAGTAAAGGAGCTAAAAGGTCCCCCAGCTCTGCTTTGAACTTTGAAGATGGACAAAACAGTTATTTCTCCCAGACAGAAAAACCACAGCATGCCAGATGAATTTCTGGATCAAAGCCACAAAGGGAAAAGCACAGTCAAGATGAGAACGACAAGAAAGGCTTCAGCCAAATGATGGCAGTAATGGAGACTGTCAGGTGCAGGTCGTGGCTCTGCCACACTGCTTGTGGCCTGTCCACTAATGAATATCCCAACCGGTCTAAAGCCTTGGAGCAAGCCTGTGGCTTTGATAGGATCCAGAGCAAACTGGAACCAGAACCAGCTCCACCTGCTTTGGCTGCAGTGCAGACACACCAGCTCCTGAGCAGACTGGCTTCCCTGAGACATCACCACCAAACAAAACCCAACATGTGAGGCTGCCAGCGGCTGGGTCTTTTCCTCTCACTGAGCAATCCACTTCCCTGATTACTGTAACCAAGACCTGGCCCCTCACCCATGGTATCACAGAGATAACCAAGCTGTGTAGACAACATAACCCACCCATCTGTACACAAGGACTTTTTTTATTTTTAGCAGGTAACCTATTCACTTTTGATGGCAAATCAGAGCTCTGATCCCTACTCACATGAGCTGATGTTTAAGCCTGGGTGAAAAGCTTCCCAGCCTGCTTTCCAAAGCCCTTTTAGCCACTTGGGCACACAGACAGTGAGTTTTCTAATCATATGATCCTGCAAATGTCACCAGTGAACTGAAGGTTTTCAGTTGCTAAAGGACATTTCCTAACATCAATGCTTTTCTTTTTACCACTAAAACTGGATTTCCCAAATCCCAGGCCCTACAACCATCTTAACACCTCTCTCCATCTCGAGGGAGACCATACAAAGGTTTGCTTGCTGCACACATCTAAGCACCTGCTCTCAAACACCCCATCTCATACAGCTAATGCACATCTTCCCAAGGCCCAGGCTCAACCCCAGGCGTGCAGCACATCCTCCAGCACCAGCTCTGCCTACTGAGGCACCAGCCTCACCAGTGTAGCTGTAGCCTCTGCGCTGTGATAGTGGTGGAGTAGCCCCTTCTCTACATCTGGCCTCTACACCCTCACACCCAAGTGATCTCACACCTAAGACACTGCTGCCA